ATGGACTCGATGATTTACTCATACAACTCGGCGAGTCATAGACTGAACACATTCTTTATGAGGGGGATGAACTCGAGAAGTTCAAGGGGAACTCAACGAGTCGGTTGAAGATGGTCCTGATATTATGGTTGAAGGAGGATCTGTCGAGTTGTTGCTAGACTCGACGAGTAGAGTCGAGAGTCGGATCATTTTGGAGGAATAAGGACTCGACGAGTTGGTAGACTAACTCGACGAGTCAAGTCAACTAGAGGTTGACTTTGACCAGGATTTGGGTTGACCCTTATGGGGGTTGTGAGTACGAATTGATGACTTGGTAGAGTTGCCATGTAGGGATTGAGGAGTCGAGGAAATTCGATTTTCACGCCGGGGATAGTTCAGACACTACGCGGCATTGAGGCGAGTTACCTTCCAGTAGAAGTGGGTTTAAGGCACCAAGGCCGACTCACTAGTAGTCGATTACAGTTGAGATGATTGTCTCTGTGATAATTGTCTGGTTTGCTATTATTTGATATGTTCTATGTGACGGTATGCTATGTTCTATGTGGTAGTGGTAGTAGGAGGGGAATAGTCCCCTGATCGATTGTTAGGACCGAAGGGTAGGTAGGACACCCCAGATATGTCTGACAACATGTTTATGATATTTTATACTGTGATAGTAGTAGGGGGTGAAATAGTCCCCGTGACCGGGTGAGATAAACCGGAGGGTAGGCAGGCACCCCAAAATGGCTTGACATGGGTAGTCAACACCCCATAATGGCTTGAACCATAGTCATATATGTCTATTTATGCATTCTGACTACAAGCTGCCCACTGTTAAATTTATCGATCCGATAATTTCCGCTGAGATACCAAACATAGATGAAGATCCAGAATTGTATTCTCTTGTGAATGAGTTCATGATTCATGGTCCATCTGGCTCTGAAAATATGAATTGTCCTTGTATGGTCGACAAGTGCTCGAAAAACTTTCCAAAGCAATTATATAATCATACGTCTGTTGATCAGAATGGTTTTCCATTATATAGGAGTAGAAACGATGGTCATTTTGTTGAAAAATCGGGCGTGAAGTTGGATAATAGAAATTTTGTCCCTTACAACAAATATCTATTGAAAAGATATCAATCACATATTAATGTTGAATGGTGCAATTAGGGTTCTTCTATAAAGTATTTATCTAAATACATAAACAAGGGACCTGATAGAGCTACAATTGGCATTGTACGAAGCAATAACGAGTGTGATACTAATGATACGATTGATGAAATAAATGAGTAGTACGACTGTAGATATTTATCTGCATGTGAAGCATCATGGCGAATTTTTAAATATGATGTTCATTACAGGTATCCTTCTATGGTTAGACTGCCTTTTCATCTTCCTGGTCAACAACAAATTATATATGGGGAAGACGATGATATTGACAATGTTCTGGACAAACCTTCTGTTGCTTCTTCAATGTTCATAGCTTGGATGGAGTGTAATGTAGTTAATTCTGATGCACGAAAACTTACGTATGTTGATTTTCCTACAAAGTTTGTTTGACAACATGGTGATATGATTTGTAACCCACGGAAAGTAGGAAAGTGCATTGGTAGAATTCATTCGGTTTCACCTAATCTAGGTGAAGCTTATTTTGTAAGGATATTGTTAAATAAGGTGAAAGGTCCCAAATCATTTGAAGAAATTCGCACATTTTATGGTGAAGAATATTCTTCTTTTAGAGATGTTTGTTATGCTCTTGGTCTCTTGGATGATGACAATGAATACATCGATGCAATCAAAGAAGCGAGTCATTTTGGATTTGGTTTTTAACTACGATTCTTATTTGCTACATTGTTGATGTGTAATAGTATGTCTAAACCAGAGGTTGTTTGGGAAAACACATGGGAATATTTGGCAGATAGAATTCTTTATAACCAACGATAGAGATTCAAGTCTCCAGGTATTAAACTTTATTATTATTATTATTATTATTTATTAAATTGTCAAATATTTATTTTTAAACATACATTAATTAATATTTTAATTATAATACAAATATTGGTAATAATATTTCAAATTAATTTGCTCTTTCTCCTACAGACTTATCACTCAATGAAGATCAACTTAAGAACTTAATTTTCTTCGACATAGAACAAGTTTTACTTCGGAACAACTTGAGTCTGAAAAATTATAAAAACATGCCTATCCTGGATGTCGATTATATTTCTTCTTCAAACAATCGACTTATCATCGAGGAGCAAGATTATGACATTCCCATTATGAAGACTGAGTTTGATCGTATGTTTCTTGCATTGACAATGAGCAGTGTCACATTTTCCTTGATATCATGACTGTAGTTAAACAAAATAAAGGAGGTGTCTTCTTTGTTTATGGTTATGGTGGAACTGGTAAAACTTTTTTATGGAAGACAATATCTGCAGCTATTAGAAAAGATGGTCATATTGTTTTAAATTTTTCTTCAAGTGGGATTGCTTCACTATTTTTGCCCGCAGGTAGAACAGCACACTCTCAATTTTTAATTCCATTTGAACTAACAGAGGATTCTGTTTGTAGAATAAATCGAGGTAGTGACCTTGCTATCTTATTGAGAAAAACCTCATTGATAATTTGGGATGAAGCTCCTATGGTCCATAAGCATGCATTTGAAGCTTTAGATCGAAGTTTGAAAGATTTATTCAGGTCTGAAAATTCTACCAACTTAGATATTCCGCTTGGAGGGAAAGTTATTGTTTTTGGAGGATATTTTAGACAAATTCTACCTGTTATTTTAGGTGGAAGTTGACAAAACATTGTTAATGCTTCTTTAAGCTCGTCATATTTATGGCAACACATAAAGATCCATAAATTAACAAAAAACATGAGACTAATTATTGGAAGGGATCAATCTGATATAGTAAAAATCAGAGATTTTGCAAAATGGGTGTTGGATATAGGAGAAGGCAAACTTCGTGGTATCAATGATTGAGAAACGGTTATTGATATTCCAGATGATATTCTCATTAATGATCTACATGATCCCATAGGTTTATTAATTGACTTCGTATATCCTTCAATTTTGAAAACGTACAACATTACAAACTATTTTCATGAAAGAGCAGTACTTGCTTCAAAAAATGAAGTGGTTCAGAAAAGGAACGATCGTTTGCTATCGAAGTTTCCAGGAGATGATGTTGAATATTTAAGTTCAGATAGTATATGCCAATCTGAATTTGTCCATGATCAGTTTGATGCAAATTTATATTCACCTAATGTTTTAAATGGCCTGAAAATATTGGGTTTACCAAACCATAAGTTAGTTTTAAAATTTGGTGTTCTGGTTATGTTGCTGAAAAATATTGATCAGAAAAATGGATTGTGTAATGGGACAAGACTCCAGGTGATATCATTGGGCAAACGTGTTATTGAGGCACGTGTCATATCTGGAAATAATATTGGAAACCACACTTTTATTCCAAGAATGTCATTAACTCCATTAGAAAAGAAAATTCCCTTCAAATTCTGAATAACATAGTTTCCATTGGTTGTATGTTTTGCAATGACCATTACTAAGAGTCAGGGATAGTCGTTATCGAAGGCTGGTTTGTTTCTCAAACATCCCATCCTTTCACATGGCCAATTGTATGTTGCCTTATCTAGAGTTCAAAGCAGAGAATGATTAAAATTGTTAATTTTAGATAAAGATGGTAGTCTCACAAATAAAACTTTCAATGTCGTTTATAAAGAAGTTTTTGGGAATTTATAAGAACCATTTTTCTACCATCTTTTATTTTGTTTTCGTGTATTACACTTCATCCGTCATATTAATTAATTAATTTATAATACTTTATTGTATTTGATTTATTCATGTTAATAACATTACAATTTCATAATTCTTCATTATTTCTAAAATTTTATATCTTTTAATTACACTATCAGAAGTATAATTATATTTCAATTTTTAAACTGTGGAGTTCCAAAGGTTTAAACCTAGTATTAGGCCATCTCCAATGGATTAAACTCATGGAAAGTTGTATGGATTGCTAACTAGGAAAGAGAATATACACATTCACTTTAATTTTTAAAAAATTAATAAATTGTCAATTACAACTTCATTCCACCGTTCAATGGCCATTCAACTCGACACTCTCTCTCCTCTATATTATATTTACATTTACTCCATTAAACCCTTATATAACTCCCATTGTGGATGGACTTAGTATAATACACATGTCTAAGCTCGTAGATGAGATCCAACCATACTCTTTTATTTTAGTTTAAAAGAAAATCATAATTTTGTAGCATCAGGTTCCACTTTGTTCAAACATGATTGTAATTTTATTGTACCCAATTATTTAGACTTTTATTCTAGCTTTTATTAAGATGTAAACGCTTAAAAATGTAATTCTAATAAAAATCATTCGTTGGTTTTAAAATGAGACTAAAACTGGTAGAAGTCTTTACTCTTTGCACATCGTTGGATATTTGTTTCATCACTTTACACTCTTCGCCAAATATTGTTTGCAATATAGTTTTCTTGCTGTAAAAAAAGGAATAATTTTTAATTGTCATATTAATTGTAAATTTCAATTTGAGTAATTTTAACCATTTATAAATATCAACAAGTGGTTCACTTGGACTCGTTCTATGATTACATAATTAATAGTAGTAAAAGATATCTAATAAACTATAAACTACCACTACCCAAGCATCTTCGCGACTCAAGTGGCCAACTTTAAGATCAAATTGGCATAAACTATACATTTTTTTTATGATTCTGACTTAGTAGTTGTATAGTTTACGACTTTAAGTCAAATTGTTCTTTAAAATCAGGCACTTGACTCACGAAGATGGGTGGTAGATGACAATGGCTTTGGAACACAAAATCATGGTTGACGCCTCACCCTATAAGTACAACATCACAGTACTTAGAGAAAAATGTATCAACATCTAGCTTCTTCCAATCCCTTTCATCATTATTTCTAGAAACTTTCAACTTTTCTTTGACAATTTTAGCCAACAATGTCGTTTTTCATAAGAGAGTTTGCGCACCTCCAAATTTCACTCGAATCCATAAAATCTGCCACCCACAACTTTGATGCATGCAACTTCATTGCAGAAGGTGGATTTGGTAAAGTATACAAAGGAGAGTTCTCACGTTCTGAAGGTCAAACCATCGGTGCTGTAAAGCGCTGGAATAAAGATCTGGATCTGGAGTTTCGAAGGGAAATCATGTTGCTTTCCGATAATAAACATGAAAATCTCATCTCACTCATAGGATACTGTGATGAGGAGAAGGAAAGAATCCTTGTGTATGAGTATGCACCAAACAAAAGCCTTGACTTTCATCTAGCAGACCCCAAGTTGACGTGGGTTCAACGTCTCAAGATATGTCTTGGGGCTGCACGTGGCCTTGAGTACCTACACAATCCTAGGGAAGCCCAACGAGTCCTCCATTGTGATATCAAGAGTGCCAACATCCTATTAGACGAAAACTGGAACGCCAAAATTGCAGATTTTGGTTTCTCCAAATATGGGCCTGCGAACGTAAATCGTTCGTATCTCATGACCCAAGCCAAAGGCACATACGGATATGCTGATCCTGAGTTTGTGGAAACCATGATATACACGAAAGAATCAGACGTCTACTCCTTTGGAGTCGTGTTATTCGAAGTTTTATGCTCAAGGTTTTGTATTGATTTTGGTTGTGATGATGCACGCCGATCCCTAATCAAATGGGTAAAGAAATCATCAAAAGAAGAAATTCGAGATAAGATTATTGATTCTGATCTAAGGAAACAAATGGAACTTCCTTCTTTTGACAAGTTCGTAAAGTTGGCATTACAATGTGTGGAAAGAGAGCCGAAACGTCGCCCGTCAATGGATTTCGTTGTGAGAACGCTTGAATCTGCACTCAAATGTCAAGTATGTTATTCTTTCTCTTTTCCCTGTATAGTATTTTTTACTGGAGAAAACAAGAAAAACACCAAATACAATTGAAGTAATATGGAACGGAGACAACCAATACATCATATCATATGGATTAATATATAATATGTCCGATTGAAAATGTGTTTGAAAGTTTGTTTTATAATTGTGATCAAGTATATCATAACAACCTTTTCTTTGCTGATTCTAGGAAAAAAGAAGATTGTCGAAGATCAAAAGAGCTTCAGGTGTCCTGTTGGGCATTGTTGTTGCCACTGTGCTCCTTTAGTCTATGGGTCATGCTAGCGTTTTTGTTTTAGACTTTTAGTAATATTATCATCGGTTTAACAATCCTGTTTTGGCATTAATTAGCTCTTTCAACCATGTAAAATGCGGTTTGATCGATCAGGCCTCACACTGACGTTTTGGGGGCATTTTAGGCTTCATATGCAATTTATAAAATTTAGGTCTTTATATATACTGGTGTAATTAAAAAGGAGCCAAAAAACCCGAGTCTTGTATTCGCATCACAATCGTTCCAGCCTTTGTTCTAACACAATTTTTTTTTAAAAAAAATGCTACAATCTTATACAAAATATGTTCCATCCTATGTTTAGTTTAGTTTAACGGAAAATCAATGCATTCCACCGACGACTTGTTGTCTACACAAGGTTGTCAGTATAGCCTTGTCGGTAAAGGTGGAAAATGTCGTGGGGATAGATGTCGTCTGGTCAACCAATCCAGACAACAAGTCGTTGGAAAATTGTTGTCAGAAGTGATTTCGAGAAAAAAAAGTTTTATTATATACTCTAATAGACGACTTATCGTCGATATTATAGATGCAATATGTACCAATGACTTCTTGTTGGGAAAAGGTGTCAAGCAAGTCGTCCGGAAAAGATTGCAACAGTTGTTTCAGTATCAGCTATAGTGACGACATGTTGTCGGTAAAGGTCAAAACCGTTTTTACAATTATGACTTGTACCGACGACATGTTGTCGGTAGAGCTTATTTATTTATTTTTCACATATTTTTTTATATATACCAAACCTATTTTTTTAAAACAAATCTCGACATTATATGTGCAAAATTATGTCAAACAATAAATAAACATAACAAACCATCAAAGTTCAAATTAAAAATCTACTACAAAAAAATGATAAGTCTTAAACAAACATTGTTCAAAATAACATACAAGATCAAAAACAATCTTCCCACGTCCCCTTGTTCTCCTCAGTTTCGTTGGTTTGTTCAGGTGTATTTTGTGGAATCATTGGGATTGAATTGAAATTGTAACGTTGGTGGTGGTTGGAAGTTATTACGAGCGCCAATGGATTATTGTACACTTGTTGCATATATTTCATTCGTTGGGTTAATGCAACAACATGAAAATTATTTGTATTTTGTGGGATATGGAAGATTTGGAATATCTGGAATGTTGATTTGGAATTAAATGATTGTTGATGCTTAGTTTCCTTCCAACTCCACGAACATGTCTACGTCTCTCACAAGCGACACGGGTGAGATAGTGTTCTTCATTTAAGCGTTCGCTTTCCCCGAGCTCTTCTTGTATCTTTCTATACTCTGCTTCAATCTTTTCCTAAAATAAATAAATAATAAACATACATTAATTAAAATAAATAACTAAATTTAAACAATAAAATAATAATAATAATAATAATAATAATAATATGCCTTAAAAAAACTATAACAACAACAAAAACAACTATAACAACAACTACTAGTACTACAACAACAACATATTAACACCGTAATAACTTCGTTTATTACTTACCAAATCTCTTTCTGATTGCAGTGTAAACCAACCTTAGACCTTTCTTATAACGCATTTGTCTTCACATATTAATATGTTGCAAGGCTAGTCCTTTTTCAATCTATAATAAGCCAAAAACATTTAATATATTTATATAAGTGTTAACAAAATTTTTATATAATACAAATAAATTTAATTATTTCCTCATAGTGTATGTCTGCATATGACCTGCTATCATGTCGTTCGAAGCATCATCGTCCACTTCTTCCAGTGAATTTATTCTTGCACCTTCCGCGTGATCATATCCACCAACTTAGTCAAAATAACAGTTCAAAACATGTTTATGTTCTTTATAAGCTCTTTGGCAGTCGTCATTTACAACCGCTCGCATGCTTTCCCACAAAGTTGCACCCCGATACATATCATGATCAAAATATGTCTACAATAAGAAAACAAATTTAATTAGTAAAAAGTATTTAAAAGTATACAAATTTTTTACATATAAAAAGTATTGTGTACTTACATCTATCTCAGGATACGTAACCTTTTTGTGTTCGAGAGGAATACGATGCCAAGACTTATAGTGTAGTTGTACATCTTCTATAACAAAATTTGAGATAAAGCTTTTTAACATCTTGTCATTTTTTCCTACGAATCGATAGGTCCGACCACTGTTATCAACTAGCATGTAACACCTGGTTTTCCGTATCGGGTCGATTTAGAGTTTCAAGAAGTCAAGGCATGGTTTTAGGGTAAAACCAAGGCTCACGACGTGAGCCATAGAAGGTTCAGAACGTGAGGAATGATTAAATGAAGATTTTGATTGAAACTGAGCTCACGACGTGAGCAATAAGAGCTCACGACGTGAGATACACTATAGCCCAAGCTCATGATCTTTTAGGGTTTCCTTCGTATTTAAGTCCCATCAACCTCATTTTAGGGTTTTTAAACAGCCTCATTCGTTCCAAAACTCACTAAAATCCTAACCCTAGCCTCTCATTGTGATCCTTGAACATTTGGTAGTGTTTTAGTGGCTTGAAGAGGAAGAGATCATCATGAAAGCATGGTTTCAGCTTGAAAGTTTCATTTGCAACCTCTAGCTACACTTCTCGACCAATGTAAGTAATCAAGATCCAAGCTTTATGTTTCCTTGTTGCTAGATCTAAGGTTTTATGCATATCTATCCAAGATCTTAGGAGTTAGAGTGTTGGGACTCTATAAAGTTGGCAACTTTATGGGTCCTTAGGATCCCTTGGTGCTTATATGTTATAGATATGAAAGTTTGCAAGATGTTGGAGTTCATATGAGAATTTATCTTCTTTTCTCCATGAATGACCTAATTTGAGCCCATGTCTTGTATTGGACATACAGGACCTTACAACATCGGTTTTTATGATCCTTGGAGTGTTAGGAAGCCTCCTAGAAAAGATGAATTAGTGGCTTAATGGATTAAAAGGTTTTTGGATCAAAATGGCTTCCAGACTGATATCACGATGTGAGGTGATGGATGTCACGTCCTGAGGGTTGTGAGACTCGATTATTTTGTTTTGTAGTGGCTTATGATGTGAGCTATAGGTGGTCAAGTCGTGAAGGTCTGTTGACCGTTGACTTTTGGACCAAGTTGACTTTGGGTCATACTTGAGGATTTTGGGCTATTGATTGAGATTCTATCTGGTTTTGGTGTTAGATGATTTGGTACTCTGATAACATTTTACTATGATATACTCTTGACTGTTTTGATATGATTATCATATGATTGGAATGAACTTACAATGAAAATTTTATCTGAATTTTTGGTATGTTACAAGTTGAAGACGATTTAGAAGAATTCTACATAGATCTATTTGGTTTGCTAAACATACTCCTGTCTAGTCTTAATTGCATAGGTTTTGTGTGTTTTTCTGCTACTATGAGAGGCTAAAAACCTTATACTTCTGTTTGGTGAAGATGAACCTAATCCTCATGTGTTGATTTCGATTATTGAATGATATATGTTGGTGTTACTTGTGTTTGATAATTAAAACGCTAGCATGTTTTAGTTCTAGTTTATATTGCTTTTTAATCAAATTATGTGTGATAGTTGATCATTCTAATTGCTTGAATTTGTAACCTAATTGTTTATGATCGTTAAATAATTAGAGCTAGGATTAATCACATCTTAGATAAAGTAATTAAAGCTACTAACTTTAACTGTGTTAGAGAGCATAATTAATCTTAATAGTTGATCATAGAAAAGTAACTACTATCATTCATAGTCTAATTTGTGCTTATTATCGATTTGGTGTTTAACTTGTGCTTGATCATTACATAGTAATTCATGAATTGGTATGTCTAGATATTTGATCATAATAGTTAGTTAATAAATTGGAAATCAATATATTCCATCCACTAGAAATCAACCATAGGAGAAGGTAAAAGCAGAACTGAACAGTAGTACTCTTTAATCTTGAAGTAAATTTTTGTTTATTTGTTTGCTTAGCTAGTATGTGTTGATTTCAACTATTGAATGGTATATGTTGGTGTTACTTGTGTTTGATAATTAAAACTCTAACATGTTTTAGTTCTAGTTTATATTGTTTATTAATCAGTTTCTGCATGATAGTTAATCATTCTAATTGCTTGAATTTGTAACCTAATTGTTTATGATCATTAAATAATTAGAGTTAGGATTAATCACATCTTAGATAAAGTAATTAAAGCTACCAACTTTAATTGTGTTAGAGAGCATAATTAATCTTAATTTGTGCTTGGTTGTTTAACCTGATTATAGAAAAGTAACTATTATCATTCATAGTCCAATTTGTGCTCATTATTGATTTGGTGTTTAACTTATGCTTGATCATTACATAGCAATTCATGAATTGGTATGTATAGATATTTGATTATATAATAGCTAGTTAATAAATTAATAATCAATATATTTTATCCACTAGAAATCAACAAGGTGAAATCGGAACTAAACAAAAGTACGCTTTAATCTTGAAGTAAATTCGTGTTTATTTGCTTACTTAGCTGGTAATTTGTTATTTTAATTTAAGTTCTTATGATCTTGCAAAATCAGTAAAAACCTCCAATTTAAATTTGTTTTATAGTTTAATTAGAAGTAGTTAAATTAATTAACTAAATTTTGTTCCCTGTGTTCGATACCCGACTTACCAAAGCTATTTTATAATCCGACTAGGTACACTGCCTATAGGTACATATATTAGTTAAGTTAGGTTATAAATTCAAAACAAGTATGTACTATTGTGCACATCACAACTTTATGATGATCGTTTTTTAGAACTAGAAGAAAGGAGAAACTCTATTGACCACTTCTATGAAGAAACCTATATTGGTCGCTTTACTAATTCCAGATCCCATCATCCAGAGAGAGAGAGAGAGAGAGAGAGAGAGAGAGAGAGAGAGAGAGAGAGAGAGAGAGAGAGAGAGAGAGAGAGAGAGAGGTCCCTCTTATTTTTTTAATTATTAAAATAAATAAATAAATATTAAATTTAAAAAAAATGAAATAAAAATAGAAAATAAATACCCCAAGGGTATTCGAATCATTTTAATATTTATAGAGACCAAAATATAACGAAACTAACTCAAAATGACCACAAATTCAAAAAAAAAGTTGGGATTTGGACGTAAACCCGAAAAAAAAAAAAAAAAAAAAAAAAAAAAAAAAAAAAAAAAAAAGTAGAGAAAGGAATGGAGCAAAGAATGTGAGATCCTATTGAGGTGTA